CAGAGCATTATCTCAATCCATTGTGATTTCGCTTCCCAGCATTTGTCAACATTTTGGCTCAAATAAACTCGGAAAAATTCTTCACAGGCTTGAATGTTTCTTACATTGACAGTAGTATGCATCTTTGATATGATGTGATGAAAACGGTACTTTGTCCCTGTGGTCTTCCAAGCTCATAACCCCGGTCTAATTATGAGAAAAACATCAGACACATCCCAATTGAGCAAGACATTCTACAAAACATCTGACCAGTACTCCTAAAACTGCCGAAATAATAAAAAACCAGGAAAGTTACTAGGCTGGTGTGACTCAGTGGTTGAGCATTGACCCATGAACCAGGAAGTCACAGTTCAATTCAGGATACATGCCAAGGTTCCTGGTTCAATCCCCAGTAGGGGGCATGCAGGAGGCAGCAGACGATTATTCTCTCTCATCATTGATGTTTCTACCTCTCTCTCTCTTTTCCATCTTCTCTCTGAAATCAATAAAAAACAAAACAAAAACACAAACAATAAGGCGAATGATGACATACTAGTACATTACAACTGTCAGACATGAAAGATGGGGCATTGCTATGGGAATGTAACAATGTTGCCTGGCTGCCTGGCGTGGCCCAATGGTTGAGCATCGACCTATGAACCAGGAGGTCACAGTTTGTCTCCTGGTCAGGGCACATGCCAGGGTTGCAAGCTCAATCCCCACTAAGGGACATGTAGGAGGCAGCCGATCAATGATAGTCTCTCATCATTGATGTTTCTATCTCTCCCTCTCCCTTCTTCTGAAATCAATTTAAAAAAAAAAAGTAACATGTTATTCTGGATAGAATCCTGTAACAGAGAAAAGATATTAGGTAGAAATTAAGGAAATCTGAGTAAAGTATAGACTTCAGTTAGCAATAAAATATCAATATTAGTTCATTAATAACAGATGCACCATACTATAAGGTAATAGCAGGGGAAATTGGGTGTGGGGTATATGTGAACTCACCATATACTATCTTAACAATTTTTCTATACACCTAAAACTGTAATAAAAATATAAAATTTGTTTTTCTTAAGAGTAGTTTTATTTTACTTATGCCCTTGATCAAGTTACTTAGCCTTTCTGTGCCTCATTGGCCTCATCTGTAAAGTTAGAATACAGGATGGGGAAAAGGAGGTTTATAGTTGTGGGTATGGAAAGCTGTTTATTCTTGTACTTTTATTAGTTATTGTATTATTTTCTATATGAAAAACTGTAAACCTACTTTTGCTCCTTCCTGTATAACAGGAACAGTCTCAGAAATCTGTTGTGAAGACTAAATGAGTTCATATACTAAAATGCTTAGAACACTGATTCACATAGTAAGCACCCGTCAGTATTAACTGTATTACTTTATTATTAGAGGCCTGGTGCACAAAATTCGTGCACTCGTGGCGGGGGGGCAGGTGTCCCTCAGCCTGGCCTGCGCCCTCTTGCAGTCCAGGAGCCCTCAGGGGATGTCCAACTGATGGCTTAGTCCTGCTTGGGAGCGGGCCTAAGCCAGCAGTCAGACATCCTTAGCACTGCTGCAGAGGCAGGAGAGGCTCCCACCACCGCCCCTGTGCTCACCAGCTGTGAGCCTGGCTCAGGGCTTCCTATGGGAGCGCACTGACCACCAGGGGGCAGTTCCTGCATTGAGCGTCTGCCCCCTGGTGGTCAGTGCACATCATAGCAACTGGTCGTTCTGCTGTCCAGTCAATTTGCATATTAGCCTTTTATTGTAATAGATTTTTCAATATTTGTAAAGTACAGTAACATTTTATGCATATTGAAAAAAATTGTCTGACATTAAAGTCTAACTTTACAAATAAAATTTGAAATGATTTCCCCCAATTAAAAATGTCAAAAATTACAGAATTTCAAAGCTGCCAAATCAAGAGAAGTGTAAACTGTGTTTGTATTATGGTCACATGGTGGGCTACGTGTAAACCTTGTTGACCCTGTTAAGAATTCATGAGTTAAGTAAGCTCTTAGGAACCTATAGTTCACATGAAAGGTGACAACTCTATTACATAGGGTCTAAAATTCTCATGGTGTAACAAAAACTAAAATTTGTATTTTAATATCAAAGTAATGATTTAGATGACTTCCATGGAGAAAAGGTGGCTAGGTTATAGACCCAAGATCAAAATAAAAGAAGAGGAACTTTAAAATCATTTAGATCTGTGGCAGCACAAACTACCAGAAGCCAAAGGCTCAGGCAGATACTTCTCCTAGCCATTATACAACTGATCAAACATATTAATAATGTAGGCTGCCTCCTAAGTCCTTATGACTCTGTATATGTAAAACCACTCAGCGGTCTTCCCTTTTCCTAATAACTGAAAATTTCAATCTAAGTTTTGGGGTCTAAATAAAAAATATTACTGCCTAAATAAATTCTCCATGTATCATATATATTTCCCCATTGTGTCTTTAATATTTTAAGATATCTATAGTATACTTAAATAAAATGTTTACTACATATTTTCTATTATTTGCAAATATTGTATAAGAAAAAGAAACATTTTCAAGTTACATAAAAAATTTGATATCAGTGTAGCTTCTTTTGACATTAACAGTGATAGTTTTTGATTTGTTTACAGTAGAAGAGCAACCACATAGAGAGATGCTCACTTAATCAAAAAGCTAGGGTCAAATAAATGTATCCACCCTTATAACAAAAATCAAAGACTCAGAGCCAGAAGACTATAAGAAGATGTGAGAATTAGATATATTTAATCTAAAAAAAAAATGAAGAAGTAAAAATATACACACAAATGACATTTCTAAAAATCTAGATGTTTGCTTTATCCTTTTTTTGCAATAAGGTGTTAAGATAGAAATTTGAAAGCATTGAGAATGTTAAATCGCTTTGACATATTTCCCCTTTATATCTAAAAATCAGAGACATTTTAAGTACATTTTATTTTTGAAAAAGGTATTTTAGAAATAGTTTGGTGAAAGCAGATGTGAACTGTTTACTCCCACTTTATTATTTACTTTATCAATCTTTTTGACTAAATTTTTTTTAAACAATGACATTTATTTTAGATTTTTAAAAAATGTCATTTTCTTATATTTACATCTCCTATAAATAGAAATATCAATTTTATAGTCTTGAAGTATGCATACAGCAATCTCAGTAAAAGGCAATCTTTTTCTTTTATAATGAATATCCCAACAAGATGTTATTTCAATATGGATACTAAAAAATAGATTAATTTAATTTCAGTAATCATTAGTTATGCAAACTACCTTTGTTGTAAGGAAGTAAATTACAGTAACCAATGTGTGTATAACCTTTCCAAGACTATACATGTATATAAATTTCATACATACATATGTAAAATCTCTCCCAGTAGTAGATACATGTTAAGATTTTTATAATTTATGCTGGTAAATGGTTTGTCTAATTTTGTTAAAATGTTGATACATTGCATTGATTTTTAAATGGAAAGATGATTACTCTTTGGTTTCCCACAAAAATGATAAGCCCTGAACCTTTTACTATATAAATTATTCTGTTATGGCAACAAATCTCAAAACAACTACCAACTCTCCCCCCCCCAAATACCACCCAAATCCCCCCAATTGAACAAACAAAAACAAAACAATGAAACCACATTAACTCAATTGACCTCCATATTAAAATTATTAGTTTCCTCTAATCTCAAGATAATGCCAAATCACAAACTAATTAAAAAATTTAAAAATTAAAAAAAGAAAAATTAAAAAAATATACTAGTTATTTATGTAAAGATATTCCCTTCTCTCCATTACACAAATGATAATAGATGATTAGTCTGTATTCATCACTATTCCGACACCACAGTTTATAAAATTCAATATTCTGAAGGTTAGAAGGGAAGGCAGTCAATATCCCTAAGTAAGATTTATTTGGTGTTTTTTTTTTCCTAAGAGATATTTGAATATAAGAACTCATTTTGTCTCCATCTCCTACATTAATAATCAACATACAAATTACAAGTGTTATCAAAACCTGCAAAGGATTTTAAAAGAAAAAGAATCCATAATCAAACTAAACAAATGATAAGCTATGTATGCCTTTAAATATTTTGAAATATTTGAGTGTAGATGAAAAGGTGACTTTCATGTTCTAACTTGTTACATAATATTGTACAGTAGTTTATACTAGTTAATAAGAAAACCCATTTCAAAGATAAAACCAGGTTCCAAGGATGAATATGGATAAAGTCATTGTGAAATTACCGATGTTTTATTTTCTCCCCTCAAACTCATTTCCCCTCCCTTTTGCCCCCTTTCACCAGCTGACCACAACTAGCCCTCTACATTCCTTTAAACTCTCCTGAAGGAATGTCCCTCATTTCCCTAAATAGCACAATTTTCAGTGAAGTGAAGGTAACAGGAATTAGTAGCTGTCATCTTAGAAAGAGACATGTTACTGTATTCTCTGTATTAGTCTGGAGAGCTGCAACATAGACAAGACAAAGAGAAATAACCATAAAAAGAGACTATTGACAACTACATGGTGTAAAAAAATTATTGACAACTACCGTGTTATCTCCTTATAAAACCTTTCATTTTCATTAAGATTTCAAAATGACTCTCTATAATCTGTTGCAAACTAAAATGTCATAAAAAATTTATACACTAGAAATGTCTCCAATAGTTTTGCTATGATTAAGAAAGGTAAAAGAATGAAACAAACTACAAGGCAATGATGTATAAAACTGTTATTATATATTCTTTTCAAGGCAGAGCCAGATTTATATATGGAATACAAGATTATTTTTAAAAGAATGCTATTTGTTGTCTTTATAATTTTACAGAATTAATATTAGAATATTCTTAAAACCTAGCAAAAGTCCCACATCTGCATACCAAGATATTATATATGTGTATGTACAAGGTACATACACATATATTCATAAATTTTAAATAATACTAAGTTATCTTAAAACATTATAGAGAATATACCCCACCCCCCCATTTCTAACAGTAAGAAAATCATCGACCTGCACGAACTGGAATCAGATTCATTTTCCTCTTCACTAGTGCCATCATCCACTTCTGGTCTATCCAGCCAGTGTGCACCGCCACAATCTTCTGCTGTAAACTCAAATGCAGGGACTTCAGAGGTGGATGCCATTGGCCAAGAAGGTGAACTCTGAAAATCCAGTTGGCTGGACCTTCGGTAACCAATTGAAGCCAGAGGCAATTGTAGGCTACATGGATCTAAAAACTTTCTCCCACCGTTTGCTCCAGTCTGTCCTCGATTCCAAAATTCTCCCTGCTGGCTGTCAACTGTAGGATTAGGAGATGATGCTTGATGGCCAAACCACCTCCATCTGATTTTCAAAATCTGCTTCACATCAAACTCTTTACGAGAACCAGACATCCTCAGAGAAACCAAGTGATCGTCTAGGCAACGGGCAAAAAGCACTGCACACAGATCTGTGCATCCAACCAAGACAAGAGAAGTATATGCCCTGCTGTACACAATAAACAGATTGAAAAGAAAATAAATCACATTCACATATATATCTACATTTACTTTTACACCACGATGTCAGATTATAAAGAACAAAGGATAATGAATAAAGATGAAACACGGTGGAACATTCCGTTCAATCAGAGCAAACTCATCCACCTATCCTGAAGCAGCTAGCCCACTTTCCTCTGCTCTCCTTTCCCATACTGACCATTAGCTCTCACAAACACTGACAGCATTCATTAAAGCCCTTTCAAATGCAGAACACTACCCCCTTTCCTTAAACCACAACTGACAGAAAGCACTATCCCTCACAGTATCAGTCTCTGCTGCTTAGTGTATTAACTCTTTTATTGCTGAAACAAGAAATTTATTCCAGAGCATTTTCCTTTGTACTTAAAAATCACTGTACAACTAAAGTGCCTCTATTTTTACACAAAGTTCCTACATGAGAGAGCACAAAAGAATAGTTTTTTAATAAGCATTTTTTTAATTAGACAAGTTCTAGTGGTTTTTCAAGCTGTGCTCTTTGGATGGGGGATGAGGAGGGAGGAACGGAACAAAAGGTGAGGTTCCAGTTTGTTGCTTTCCACCTCTATCTTCTCCCTTTAGGAAAGGAGTGCATTTCATTAATAGAGTAAGATCCTGGGTAAGATTTCATTTGAGCAAAGAATAAGGAGAAAAAGTTTGAAACTACAAAGATCAAAATACGGCAGTACTTATTCTTCAACTAAATAACATGAAGCCAATATTGCTCTAAAAATAGGATTGGACTATGATAATATCCAAATTCCTATGATACTACTTAGAAAAAGGAAAGTGTGGCTCAAGAAAGCTACCAAGGACTGGGATAGGACTATTTTGGGGGTGAACAGGCATCCTAATGGTACCCTCTATTGTTAGCAAAACAAAACAAGGGCCTAAACATGGTTACAATTAAGGCAAATTGATAAAGCAAATAAAAATCAATCAAATGCAATCAAATTATAAAATATTGAGTGGTTACTGTGGGCAAGACACTCTACTAGGGCATTGGGGGAGGGAGGCATAGATATATGCATCTCGGTTCCTATACTCAAAAATAATTATAACCAGTTATAGAAACAAAATATTTGATAATTTAAATACAAAAAACATTTTTGGGGGTGCTCAATACCTAATACTATATCAAGTATTTCACTCAAACGGCAATGCCTTTTATCAACTGACCAAAAAAAAAAGCTGCTTTGGAGGCTTATAATGTATTTCAAGGCATATGTCTATATATCTTCTTAACCTCACACAGCTCTTTAAGAGAATCAGAGTGAGGGCATGAAAAGCCATATACAATTTTGTGCTAAGTATTATAGGACAAACCATAAACACTATAAAAAAGAGAAAGGAGATATCAGGATGGTGTGGGATGGTATGGGCCAGTTATATTAGAGAGAAGGCATCCAAGAGTAGGAAGAAGTTGAATAGGCAGAATTATGATAGATTTTATAAAGGAAGAAAGACATTAAAAAAAAAAGCATGAAGTGAGCACATTGACAAAGAAAGGGGGAAATATTATTTTAATCAGTCAGCCACACATACTAATTAATTTAAGGAGTAGTACAGTTGGATAAATATGATGAGATAAAATGCCTTGAGCACAAAGCAAAGGTGTAAAGACTAACAGGCAATACTAAGTGGACTACTGAATAGAGCAGTGTTTTATGAAATAAGTTTGGCAGTCGTATGCAAGATGCATTAGAGTGAAATGACACTTCCCTTTCCTCATACCGCTGTCAGACTTCTAACTCCACTCCACCCATCCAACTTTATTTCCAACATAGACATACCACTTCATCTGTCAAGGTAGAGTCTAATTATGTTGCTCCCTCTTTTATATGCTGTTTGTGTCTCAATTTCTGTGGTGTTTTTTAAAATACATTTTTATTCATTTCAGAGAGGAAGGGAGATGGAGAGAGATACACACATCAATGATGAGAGAGAATCACTGATTGGCTGCCTCCTGCACAGCCCGCCACTGGGGATCGAGCTGGCAACCCAGGCATGTGCCCTGACTGGGAATCGAATTGTAACCTTTTGGTTCATAGATGCACTCAACCACTGAGCCACAATGGTTTGGCCCAATTTCTATGGAATCCTACTCGTCCTTTAAGGCTCAGCACAGACATTACAATTCTTAGAAATATTTCAATTACTCCAACACTGTGGTTCTCAACAAGAATAGCACCAACACCAACACCCCCTGCATCCCAAAAGGGGTGCTGGAAGTTGGGGCTGGAATTTTAGTTGTTGGAATGACCGGAGAGTGCTATAGGCATTGAGTGGGCAGGGGCCAGAGATGGTAAATACCGTGCAAAGCATGGTATAGACCAGTGATGGCGAACCTATGACACGCGAACTCATTTTTTTGGTTGATTTTTCTTTGTTAAATGGCATTTAAATATATAAAATAAATATCAAAAATATAAGTCTTTGTTTTACTACGGTTGCAAATATCAAAAAATTTCTATATGTGACATGGCACCAGAGTTAAGTTAGGGCTTTTCAAAATGCTGACACGCCGAGCTCAAAAGGTTCGCCATCTCTGGTATAGAACCACACAATAAAGAATTGCCATTGCAGTAGTTCATAATGATCTTGCCATCACTGTCTTCATTCAAACTATTTACCAAGCATTATATGTACAAAGCACCACAAGAAACAGAAAAATGAATAACAGATTTTTTTGTTAATCCTCACCCAAAGGTATTTTTTTTCATTAATTTTTTTTTTTTTTAGAGAGTAGAAAGAAGAGAGGGAGAAGAATGAGAGACAAAGAGAGGGGGAGAGAGAGGGAGAGAGAGAAGAAAGACAAAGCAACTGGTTGTCTCCTACTGGTGTCCCTGAAACCCTTCAGTTCATGGGCTGATGCTCAAACCACTGAGCACACTGCCCAGGGCGGATTTCTTTTTACTTTTTTGTTAATCCTCATGGACATATATTTTTTCCATTGATTTTTTAGTGAGAGTAGAATGGAGGGGAAGGGAGAGAGAGAGGGGGGAAGAGAGAGAGAGGAAGAGAGAGAGAGAGAGAGAGAGAGAGAGAGAGAGAGAGAGATTGGTGCCTCCCACACATGCCCCAACCGGGGCCAGGGATTGAGCCTGCAACCGAGGTATGTGCCCTTGACCAGAATTGAACCCATGACCCTTTAGTGCAAGGGTTGATGCTCTGTCCTCTGAGCCACACAAGCCAGGGAAAATCTTTTTTCCAAAGAGTTTTTAAACTTACACTGTTGCAGAGAAAAGGATAATTAAATGAACTTTACAAATGAAGACTATATTTTGATAAATATAATTTTATATAAATATAGTTTTTAATTGTATTTAATGTATCAATGTGAGAGCATTTATCAGAGATTCTACTTACAATGTGCTAGCTCCAATAGCTAGAAGTGATTTTAATTGTTCTGTTGTTCGGTTGACTGTTGAAGCCTGAACTCTAGAGTGAACTTCAGTAAAGGCCACTGAGATGCCAGACACTTCTCAATATAATACAGAGGAGAAATCCAAACACTTAAGGAGATGTGAATGTTAAAATATTAAACCATGCCCCCACTTCCAGGAGGGCCCAAAGACCCTTTACACCACGGTATTAAGACATACATTAAATATGACCTCTTTAATGTAGTAGCTGTTCTGAACAGTCTAGAGATGCAGGTGAGAGATTAGCCGTTGAAATAGGTTTTTTGATTTTAAAGGGAGTTCAACCAGGATCTCAGGTTGTCAAAGACCAAGTAGCAGCATTTAACCACTACTGCCATGATCATGGGTTCAGTCGCACACACACACACACACACACACACACACTCTTAAATATATAGATATATATAAAATCTCCCACACTTAGAAACATTGATGAGAGAGAAACATCCATCAGCTGCCTCCTGCACATCTTCCACTGGGGATGTGCCCACAACCCAGGTACATGCCCGTGACTGGAATCAAACCCGGGACCCTTCTGTCCACAGGCCGACGCTCTATCCACTGAGCCAAACCGGTTTTGGCTATATACATTTTTAAAGCCAAACTTTTGTATCAGTAGACTTATACTGAATGTTTTTTAAAAGGAGACTTTTATTTTGCCAATCCTCTTCCATTCATTCTCCCTAGTAATCAATGTTGGCAGGCTGGTGTAAAGCCTTTCACATCTTTCCTCATGTTTATAAAAGCATATATAAACTTATATGTACATATATAGGAGTTTGTTACTGTTTTATAAAAGAGACATATTATAAATATCTCTTTGGCATTTTGCTTTTCTTAATTATATACATACTAGAGGCCCGGTGCATGAGATTTTTGCACTCAGGGGAGTCCCTCAGCCCAGCCTGCTCCCTCTTGCAGTCTGGGAGCCCTCGGGGGAGCCCTCGGACATCCTTAGCACTGCTGCACAGGCAGGAGAGGCTTCCGCCACCACCACTGCGCTCGCCAGCCTTGAGCTGGCTTCTGGCTGAGCAGCGCTCCCCCTGTTCTAGTGCACTGATCACTAGGAGGCAGCTCCCGCATTGAGCATCTGCCTCCTGGTGGTCAGTGGTGTCATAGTGACTGGTCATTCTGCTGTTTGATTTGCATATTACCCTTTTATTATATAGGATATACTAGTATATACATATATATGAACTAATAATCTTTTTAACAGTTGCATAATCTATACTAATAAAAGCCTAGGTGGCCCTTGTGCCCTTGCGTGCAACATCGTCACAAGATGGCCACCACAAAGTTGGCCACCAGAAGATGGTCACACGCATAGCAGAGGCGGGGCCCAGCGGCTGCTCCATGCGGTGAGGTCTGGGGGTCCCACGGCTCCGCACATTATGGAGGAGGCTGGTCCCAGCATCTGCTGCCTTGTGCGGAGGAGGCAGGTCTCGGTGGAGGAGGCGGGTCACGGCAGGGGAGGGCAGTTGTGGGGGACCAGGCTGGCAGGAAAGGGCAGTTGGAAGTGATCAGGACGGCAGGAGAGAGCAGTTGGGGGTAATCAGGCCAGCAGGGGAGGGCAGTTGCGGGCGATCGGGTCAGCAGGGGAGGGGAGTTGGAGGTGATCAGGCCAGCAGGGGAGGGAAGTTGGGGGCGATCAGGCTGGCAGGCAGAAACAGTTAGGGGCAATCAGACAGGCAGGCAGGCAAGTGGTTAGGAACCAGCGGTCCCAGATTGTGAAAGGGATGTCGCCGATTGGAGAGGGTACAGGCTGGGTGAGGTACACCCCACCCCATGCACGAATTTCGTGCACCGGGCCTCTAGTATTTCATAAATGTAAAATACAATTTATTAAATTAT